CCTGATATTATCGCCCGTGACGCCAGCGAGTGAAATGGCGACAGGCATGACTGCTCAGTAAACAGGCGTCGGCGGCCATGTTTTGCTGGTTGAAGCGAACCTCCTTGTCCTTGACAGCGAGCGGGGAAATGCGAAAAAAAGATTGTATCGGCCGTTTTGCCAGAACTAGCGACGAGTGTCGTCTGCGGTTTCCGGCAACTATTTTGCCATAATCGTGAGCTTAGCGAGGAAATGATTTTTGCTAGCCACAGAACACTACCACGCAGAAAGGGAATGCTTGAACATGTTTTTGTTCTGGATATATATCAGGGATATATATATGAGAGAGAGAGAGAGAGATGAAGGTAGAGCGGAAGAGGGAATACCATATAGTGTCGCAGGAGAATAAAGTAAACGAAGTTCCTAGTGGCCGATGGCTGCATGATCTTTTCTCGGATCACTAGTCCGTAATATGATAGCTCTTTGTACACAGTAGTTTCTCCTTAATTTAAGTGTGTGAACGATTTCTTTAGTTATCATTGGCCTCATCTGAATAAAAATATATAAAAGATGTGTGTTGGTTTCATGAAACTGTAACTCAGAGTCAGTTCTTGTATAAAACACTGCTAAGTGTAGGCTTTGAAAAAGGACCCTACTTTGGGGAGTTGTATCTTCTTTCTCAATAAAATGATGCAACATATTTTTAATGGAAATAAATGCCGAAATAGAGTATAACAGGTTACCTAAATTAAAAAAAAAAATCGAGGGTGGTGTTTTTTTTTATTTGCATCGGAATTTTTCTTTGTTTGATTTTTTTTCCATGTTTGACTAAATATATCTTAACTATTGTATCGCACAGATACCTTAGTTTTTTTTTTAAATATTAGCTATATATTAGTAGAATAATATCTGCAAAGTATATTATAATGATTAAATTATTTCATGAGATACAGACCTCCAAAGTTTGCCATTTGTCGTTCGAGCAGGCATGTTTGTCAATTTTTAAAAAAATAAATAAATTTTAAATAAATATGATTACTTTATATTACAAGCAAGCTATACCCATAGTTTGCGCCTAAAACGTATTAGAGTTCTCTTAATGTTATCGCTTTAGTTATTCACTCTCAAACGGGCCCCCTCCATCAGTGCGCGTTAATGCAACTGTCCACCACCTCATGCCTTACGATTTTTCCTGTCCCCAAGTATTTTTTCTAGTCAAAACTAAGTTTGGATTCGTTCATACCAGACACTAGACAATAACATATAAAAACATCAGTTGATTTGAAAATGTCGACTAGCCATCCTTTGGTCGATCTTATCTGAAATCACCCCCCCTTGATGTTTCCGGAAGACGAAAAGTATCATTTGTAACCGTCTTGTGCGCTTTAAAAGCGAAGGGAGTGACAGGGTCCACGAGTGCGCAACCACAAGCCAACGTTCACGTCACCGCTGCTTTGACTTCGGCGATCTCGTTCTGTATTGTCCTACCCGGCGATCCGGCAAAGAACTGAAACGCTCGTGGTGTGTGGTGAGGGGCTCGGAAGTAGAAACCTAGACTAACCGGGAGCGCAAATTGGTTGCAGTGGAATTGAGGTTCAACGGGTTCAATCCCGTCGTCGGCAGGTGATCCAGTCCAGCTGGTTCGGGAGGACGCAGCGAGCGTTCTTAATAGTGATTCATTGTTCCATTTCAAATTGTGTAAGATTCCCGACGCATACGGTGAGTAAAAAACTGCAGGCATTTTTAACAAAACTAAGTCGTTTTAATTAAAAAATGAACTCTGAATTGTTTTCCTAAATCTGCCATTTTTCTGCTTTGTGCTGTTGAACTGCGTTTGCACAGCGACGCACACCGCTCAAATAGATGATACGGTCCTGCAAACGACAGGTTATACAAAATATCAGGGAAACATAAGTCACAACCGATATTTTTCTGGAAATCTCGTATGAGTTTGTTGAACTCATCATGCGGTGTGAATAAATTTGGTCAATATTTCCTACCTGTCTACAGATGCATGCACTGAGCCCATTTTTTACTCAGTTCTTTTCATTTATTTTGGGAAGAGGCGTTGGTGCATTTATTACGGTACAATGACTTGAGAGTTCAGAAACTGGGGAGGACGAGCAAGCTTCCCCAACTTTGTCTTTTTGCTCTCTGGCACTGCCCCTAGTTTCAAGTTCTAGTTTCAGTAGACATAAATACTAGCAGGTACAAACTGATCTAAAGCAGGTAAAAGACTGGGATGTGGGGACGGTGCGGACTGCGTGTTTCGCGCTTTTCGCAAGGTAACTGGGAAAGTGCTTTTGCGAAAGATGTGAAATATGCAACCGATTTTGTTATGCATGTCGTTTGCGTCTCTCCAGCAAAACGAATAAGATGATCTAAAAAGCCGCAATCGCAAGCTAAGGTTCACAATAACACTACACATTCATTTCAAACAACTTTACGTAAAAAGGTTCGGAAGCCGTGAAAAAAATCTGTCGGCTAACGCAGAATTCGGACGCGCGAAGGCTTCTCGGGGAGCTGTTACGTGATAACCTGTCTGTACCGTGCAGGTATTTTACGTAACAGCTGTGTCTCTGTCGCGGACGTTCGGTGCACCTGGTGCGAATCTCGAAGGCCTCCGGAGCGAAATGACGAGAACATACCTGGACCAGCCGAATAGCATTCAGCGGGCCATCTTTCGCTGCGACATGGCTGCTGGAAGACTCGCTTTAGCGATCACTCATCTGGCAGCACTTTACAGAACAACGGTGCCGAAAGGAGCTGACATCTCCAAAACATAAACAACATTTGCACGCGCAAGCGAAAAAAAAAAAAATTCACGCTAAGAAAGCAAAGAGGAAAATGAAAGTAACAAACCGCACTCTGAAAGCCCAAACCCCACGTCACTTCCTAAAACTAACAGCTGCGACAGCTGCCAAATACACACTTCATCACTTCAGGAAGTTTCACTCAGGCACCTGGGTCAACACGAAACACTGATCAATTCGGCGAAACGACTGTCAAGGAAGGAAAGACCGGCGGGAGCAGAGACTTCGGAGGCCATGGAAGAATGGCGAAGATTTTGTGTTTTTATGATATGAATCCAAACGGAAGTGCCCGTCCTCTAAACCGTTTGTAAAGAATAATAACTGGAATCACATAGATTGTTCTTTAAACGTAGAAATATGTTGCTCAAAAAGAAATTACAACATATCACAAAGGTTTAACAACCAAGATCTGAGCTGTCAATCAATCTTTAGCTATTGAGAATAATTGTTATCGGACGTCGCTCCGGGACGTATAGCAGCCACTCCGTGACGTTTAATTCCCACTTTGTGGCGTGGGGTTAAAAACGGACGAAACAGCCACAAACTGAAATCAGTCTCGCGCAATAAATATTGCTGAAAAAATATTTTTTTAATGAAAAAATTGTTTTGAGTCATGCTTGTCTCAAATAGGATGTTTAAAACAACACTCTTTTCTTTGCAGTTACCATTTAAGAACGTTTGAGGGTATTGAGATGTTCGGCGACGTTTCCTAGGGTGCCTTACGTTACGTACCAGTCGAGATTTTCAGTCGAGAATTCCTAAAGGGTGTAAGACACCCGTCATAGTTTTTTAGGGGCCTTTGGTGTCTGTCCCAATCTTTTCCGTGAAATCAATGCACATATCAAAATCGTTTCTACGGGTGTGTGGCAGAGATCAGTTGACCCTTCCCTTATATGCATCGGGGAATCAGCTTGGCCAGTTTGTATGGGGCGGCCCCAACGAGTCCAGGAAATTTAAGAGACGTTCTCTCGTCACCCCCGCCTCTATCGTGTCATGACCTTGGCTAACATGGCCCCTTGGCTGTGTCTGTGTGTTCTCTGTACGTGCTGCACGGGTTGGACAAGAAGCGCCACAGGTCAACGATTCGCTCACGAGGAAGAGAGCGCGCGTGGCGAAAGCGGGAGGGGGACTTGTTTTCTGTGTGTTTAAAGATAAGCTGTTCCATTCAGTCAAAATACTGCCCTCGTCGAAAGCTACACCCAGTTTTTTCTCCGTCAACAAGCGCAAACAAAATGCTGAACAACGAGCGGACACTAAGGGTCGGCTTCCTGTACCATGCTTCGGACCTATCCTCTAGACCAACTGGCTTTTCGGATCAAGAAAATCTCTCAGCGTCCTGGGGTTTTTGCGCCTCTTCGTGCGTCCGGCCTCAGAAGCATTCAGCGAGCGAAGACGCCGCAGATGACAGCGTAACTTTGCTCGGGATTTCTCAACGGCGGCGGACGTTAACTACGCGTTCGTAGTTTTCGCTAAACGTGCTACTGACTGTGTGTTTGTGTGCGTGTGGTTCACCTGCTTGGTTTTATGAGCTGGAAAACTGTACATTTCAGACCTTAGAATTTACAATGCAGCAGTCTGCGTACCTGGATGAATATTTTTTTCCGGCAAAGAACTCGGGATTGCCTTTTTGGTCTGATCGCCTTTGTCTACAGTTGATTGCGCACGGGTACGAGTAACCGTTGGTTCTCATCGTCTTTTTGAGTTACAAGCACTTAAAACTCAATATCTGAAATAATTGTAAATCAAGTTTTAAACTCCATTCCATATCTCGTGTAGGTTCCCAGTCTTTTGGGGTCTAAAGGTTTGAAGGGATTAGGGGTCTGAAGGGATTTGAAGGGGTGAACGCGTGTTTGGTAGGCTGAAGGCGTTTGAGGTGCTGAGAGGTTTCCATAGAACATCACAGCTGAAGTGTTATTTTCAATAGGTTGGGCACGACGTGCCAAGGGTTGCAAAGCAGGGTCTCATTCCAGTGGTTTCGTTCTAATGACTGTTCAACAAACTCATGTGATACACTTCAATCGCTTCAGGATAGCTGGGATACGCACTGCTGCTTAGCCACTATTGTACCTGTGGGGTCATCAAAGAAAACCTGACACAAAATCTGATAAGGATGCCAGGCTGGCTAATAACTATTGAGTAAATCTTGCACTATGATCGCCTTCTGAGATGTAGCAAAGTTAAACATGTATAGAGGCGTCAAGGTCTCACCTGGGTGTAGACAGTAGAATAGCGGAAGTCTGCCTCTGGGTGGGACGACAGTGACACCTGGGAGGCTTGCACGGCAGACGTGGGTTGTGACAGGAAAAGGAGCGGCAAGGACCGGTTGCTGCCCACCTGAAGTATAGAAAAATATATTTCCGTTTGTTGAAATTGGAAAGTTGTATAACAAGACATTTTCTTAATTGATTTGAGTACTAATTCTTGAATGCAGTACACATATTTTCCACAGCCGAAAACCGGTTGAATTATCCAGCATACTTTTAAACTCGGATACGGCTTCGCTCATCAGGTGATTTCACTGTAAATAGCGAAACAAGACACCGAACCTAAGACGCGTCTCGCTAACGACTAGAAATCTGACTGAATAGTGGGAAATGTGGCAGTCGCTAATTTTGCATGTTTAATGCGCGCCATGAAGTACTGATATGTAACTATGTTTATATATAGACCGAAACGCGGAGCGGCTCCGTTTATTAACACGGCGGTGCCGCGCATGCGCGGAAGCTATGTGGGCAAAAGAGGCCTGGCTCTCCGTGTTTTCGTCATTGCGTTTTGTGGCGTGCGCTCGTTGTTGACATTGTAGGGACGCTTCTATCTTTATTTGTCAGTCGTATTTACTGACCAAGTTGGTCGTATGCTATGCCCGACTCTTTGACCTCGCTACCTGAGCCTGAACGGCAGCGGTATCGAAACAAACTGTGCGTGGACGGCGTTGCCTACGAGGTCCATACGCCGTAAACAAGGCCTGCTGGACTTCCGACGTGAAGTCGCTGCCACCGAACTCGACGGTTCACGTCGTTGTTTATTTAACTTTTCCGCCAAGCCAGTTCAAGACCGACACGGTGCAGGCGAACAAGTCTCTTGAAACCAACGATTACTTCGAGTCGGTTTCTGCAATACCGCGGGATCAGCAGACTGTGGTCTGCGGAAGTGTACTTATTAATTGATTAAATACGCACAGCGTCTTAAAGTCAAGGTATGATATTATTCCTACCTTCATGAGCACAAGACATGACAAGCAGTTACGCTTTGTCCGTTCTGCAGTCTCGGCGGTAACACGTTACAGGCAATGACATTACCAGGAATGCGTTACTTTTTTCAGTAATGTATTAACCTACTCGTTACTTTTTCGACAGAGTAACGGGTAACGTACTTAAGTTACTAATTCAAGTAACGTAGTTACGTTACACGTTATTACTTCCCAAGTCTCAAAGAAAATGGACTTCAATTTTCTTCTTGTTTTTAGGCGTCAAGTCATGTTTTTCTTTGCGTTTTTCTGGTGAGTATTTAGGTGAAACGGTAAAAATATATAAAGTAATTATGTTCAGTTTCAGCATGAACGTAATGTTTCTTGATATATGAGCTCATGCTTACCTTTATCGTGAAAACAGTAGAACGTATTAAATCATAGTTTTAAAAGTAACGCAGAAGTAACGTTCATTACTTTTTATCGGTAGCGGTAACGCGTTCCTTTTATTTTTAGGCAACGTAGCTCAGTAACGCGTACTTTTTATTTGCAAGTAACGATTAGCATATTTTGTTACTTTCTTTCGGTAACGCCTATAAAACTGCCGTTCTGTCGCCGATCCCCTTCTGCTACGTAGCACGGGCGAGTGCTTTGCCGGTGCTTTGTGCTCAAACACCGTGGGAACGAAATCCAAGCGGTTTTGATCTGACAACGGTTTCCCTGCACATAAGCCAGCCTCGGAACGGAGATTGAAATAGAAGCTGTACTTGCCTTAAAGAAAGTGCTTGCTGCACAAACTGTCGTTCGCGCGAGGCGAATATTCTTTTCGATCCACAGCTATTATCCCCCTTCGATGCCTTTCAGAGTCTGCCGGGATTTTGTGGAAACTCACTCCGATACTTTTCTTGTGCAATTCGGTGCAATAGACCCTTCCCGAAATTCAGTGCCATCTGGTGGCTATAATGTCAGTTTACTTTTTGCCGTACTAATGGCGGCAATGAAAATGGAGTTTGCCGTATTTTATCGGGCGTCGTCACTTTGGCAAGTCAACGGCAAACGACAGTGTCCGTTTTACTGTACATTTCCTTCTCGATCTTTTTCAGTGACGACAGAAACAAAAATGCAACCAGTCAGAACGAAGCGTCAACCCACGTACACGGCTTGATAAACTTCTACAAATCAAGGGGCTTTGAAGCACCTTGATGCTACCAACAGATTGGCTGGGCCCGAGCTAGAAATAAACGCTTAGGCAGATTTTGCTTTCAATTCCTGCTTCGCATCGTGCTAACGTCACAAATGTTTAAGCCTCGAATAATCTGCTAAGGAGCATCTTCAACTTCTTCCTTCATCAGTAAACAGAAGACCGCTATTAGTATGGCACATATGCAATTTTTTCGATGATGATGGTGATCAAAGTGGCCAGACTGAATTTCGGAAAGGGTCTATTGACAGCAACACAGCTGCGCGGCATGCTCAAATGCTTTGACGCCCGTACGAAGCGTGCGCCCTTCTGCCCACACCACCCGGCTCCGGCGCTATCGCAGCGCCGCGGCAGCTCCGTGACGTCAAGCCCGCGTGTCGGTCTATAGCAACCGACATATATCAAGAAACCGATAGACATCTGACGTTGTCACGGTGAGTGCGAATTACACGCAGGGATTTAAGCGAATCGAAAGAACGTCAAAGAATCAATTTTAAAATGTTTTATCCATCAGGACGCAGGGCTCCAGATGTCGCAACCAGCTTTTTAACGTTTTATATATAAAACAAGTAGCTGCGATGTTTATCCAACAAAGCAGGCAATCTTCCCACAGAAATTACCACACTTTCGAAAAAGCTACCCATCACTCCAGCCGCAACTTTAACAGTTTTCTTTTTATATTGGATAGGAGGTTGCTTCGAGTCCAGTGCACTGTGTATATATAATCAAGCATTATGAATATTTTTCCTCGTATAATTTTTATCTGGCCGCTTTTTTTAAAGAATGCTCAATGGTCATTATGGCGAAACATTTCACTCTAGTTTGCTACCTTGGTTCTTGAAAATAACTATCGGCATACTCTTTTATGATACTGTTACTTATATAATAATATTTCTCTAATAAAATATTATGTTGCTGTTTGTTTTATAGTCGGTTGAATAGCTCTCGTAAAGCTCTAAATTGTCTAGCGCCCGCAGCCTAGCCTCTGAGGGTATTGTGTTGCTAGGCTGGTGGCCACGAGTAAAAATACTCGAATAAATTATTAGATAAATAAATGAATACAAAAACATAATGAAATAAAGAAATAGAAAGAATTTAAAACTCATATTTCGAAACGTTGTTACGAACCCGGCTTTTTTTTTATTTTATAAGGGGAGATCATGCTTACAAAATTAGGAAATTCAACTGTACGGCTCGAAAAAGCCATGACGGAGGCAAAAAAAGGGGCGGGGGGAGGCAAACTTAACGTCTCAATTTAGATGCATTTTTTCTCCCTTTTCTTTTTCTTTTTCTTGAGTTTTATACGTTGGTTCATACTTAGCGTGCCACGCTGTCAAAGCTACTGTCGCGAGCGCGTGGCTTCATCTATGGTTTTGTTTGCGCGAGAACGCGTGCATATGATCAACGAGATCAAGCCCCACGCTTGCGCCAGTAGCTTTGACAGCGTTGCACGCTAAGTATGAAACAGAGTACAGTATATCGATTCGTCACTAGCTTGCCCGCTTATTAACGTTAATGGTCTTCAACTGTGGAGCTGACGTTTTGAAAGACATTTTTTTTTTTCACGTACGTTCGGTGATCGGTTTTGGCTAGCCTGTAATATCGTACGTATGTTCGACACTTGATATTTTTCATTCGTCATAAAACATAATTGATTTATCCTTTTTTCATGTCATGCGTTTTTATTATGATAGTGAAACTTTTTTTTTCTCAGAGTGATTGGCTCTATTAAATCGTAGCATTTGTTGCGATCGGATTTGAAGTGAAACGGAACATAATGCTAGGATTGAACAAGGTTTGGGACCGGTCTCAGTTTATGGCTTGTTTAAGATACCTCCGCACACAACCAGCGTCTTTCAGGAATGGAAACACGGCGGCATGAACAGCTGTCGCGGATTGCTGACTTTGTGCGTGTAGGTAAACGAAACGATGCTTGCCTTGGGTGCCTTGTTGGAGGGCGTGAATTCGTTGATCTGGATTTCGCGGAAGTCCACCTTCCAGAGGAGGCTGTCCAGCTCTTGCTCGTAAGCCCAATATCTGCAAGAGATGCCCGATAGAAGACAACGGACAGATACGTGGCAGTCACATTCCTTAGTTTTAGTTCCTCTTGTATATATATATATATATATATATATATATATATATATACTATTCTGGACCTTTAAAAAATTGTTCCCGTACCACTCATTTCCCTATAGCAGTATATGAGACCCGTGGCATGTACGATATAATTTTTTTTCTCAAGAAAGATGAACGCACAATTTAATTTGATACAAAGAACAAAGGGCGGGTTGGTGAAAATACAAGAACGGAAAGAATAATAAGAAATGCAAAACGTTTACGATTCCCTGTGATGCCGAATTAAAGCGCTACTCCTGAGGAGGTGGAGGAGAGGGTGCGGAGAAAAGGGTATGCCTCTCCTCCTTCTCCGTGCCCTCTCTCCCCTCCTCCTCTCCTCCTTCTCCATCCTCCTCTTCTTCGCCTCCTCCCCTCCGCCTCCCCCTACTCCTCCTCCATACGTCTTCTAATGGGGATGGAAAGGAAAAGAACGTGCGCATTTAAAAGCTAGTTGCCACTGCCTAGTCGCTAGGGTAGGGGAATAATCCAAGGAACACAGCAACTAAGAGGCCGTACCGGCACCGTATGTTTTTTGTAAGAAAAGGATTTATATAGTAAACTGTATAAATAAAAGTTTTTTTTTTTAAGTGAAAATAAAAAGGGGACGCGTCTTAGACGACGAAACGCAGCTGAGATTCCCACAATGATCGTTTGGCAACATGTCTGTTTAGAAAGCTAGCTCCGATACTTTATACTAAAGAACATAAAACAGGCAGCCAACCCAGACTTTACTGAAGCACAGCCTTTTATCGGCTGAAAATGGAAAGAGGGCAATGAAAAAAGTGGGTCGGAGTTAACGTTCCTATACCCGTAATTTATTATGAAACGACATTGCAGGTGCAGTTCAGGCAAATACTAGCCGACCAAATGCTCTGATAACATTCGCTTTAAATTTGGGATTGGAATAAAAAAAATATAACTTGTTTTGTTTGCTCATCTTTTTGGTATATATTAACTTTTTTAGGAGAAGAAAATAATAAAAAGAAAGTACCTTCCGTGTTATTACGAAAGACGCTCTATAAACTGCGAGATTTTTCTCGGTTGATGTGCGCTTCACCACATCTTTTGTTTATGGATTTCTGAAATGTACGCTATTCGAAAGTAGGAAGTGCCAACCGAGAGTTAAAATATCATGGCGATTTTACCGCTGCAATTTCAGTTTTGAACAGATTACTACTATAAACGACTGATGATAAATGTTTTGTAGCTCGGAGAGATAAAAATCTTATGACTCGGGAGAGCGATACTATTGTTTGAATGTCTTTGAAAAAAAAAAGATCATCTACCTCTAGCCTCCCTCAACTGGAATCGCCTTCCCGCGTCCGTAGTCTCACTTACCGACACTGCTGATTCTAAAGCCGCCATATCTAATGTTCTGAATAATGTTTCGTAGTGATTCTGTACCATGTGATTTTTTTTTTTTGCGTTTGTGTTTATTGTTTGACTTGTATTAATGTATAATTATCCCACTCCTCTCTGTGATGCCTTCGGGACCTGAGAGTATAATAAATAAAATGAAATTAATCAAACTTGGAAGAATACTTGTAGCTATGTGTTCAATACCAACTAACTGTTTTCTTTACTTGTGGCATAATATGTCCTATGCTTTGTTTTACTAATATCCAAGGTTAGTAGGACAAAAAAAAAAAGAGTCATTCCACTCTGTGGGAAGGTGGATGACCAGCGAAGCTGTTCAGCACACGACAAAAACTTGACGCACAATTTTGAACAAAGGTACGAACAAATTTATTGTCTTGGTCGGTGGTCTTCGTGATGAAAGGATACGCACATGATAAATTACCCAAGCATCAAGGAGAATGCAGGGAACGGTGTTCCACGCGTCGCGCGTGCCGGCGTCTCCAGCAGTAACCATTCTAAAGCAAAAGACTAAAACAAATGGCATATTTCGCGTGCGTTGGTCAATGCTTTATTTTGGTTATTTACTTCGACTCTTTCATACGGGGAAGGCGCGCGAGCAGCGCATGCGGCGGTGCGAGCGTAGAGGTTTTGGTCATCTACATAAAAAATACATAAAACCCTTGCCATAGACAGCTTCGCTATAAAAGAAAACGTTCGGTGGCGAGTTTCTTCTAGGGCACCTCGTGTATTTCTGCGTGACTTGTTTTCAAATTGCCTAAACACCTCTCAAATAAACGCCTTTATCGCTAACAATTTTCACTCTTTTTTCTTGCATTGTTTGAGATCCACAACGCAAATTTACAAGCCACGTATATGGAATTAGTGGAAATAAAACAAGTCTTATAATATTTATCTATTCGACACACAAAAGCTTGCACAGATTATATAAGTCGCATATCGATTCCTATAGTCGCTCACATTTTTTCGGGTTTATTGAACTAAGTCGTATATTTTTCTTTTTTGATCACAAAACGATTTTGGACTCTAATATTTTAAGCTCTACTTCTATGGTGCGCATGAAACCCACACTCACCTGTACACCACAAATCCCACAATGAGCAGTAGCAGAATGATGCCACCCGAAGCGCCTGTAACGACCTTCCAGGCTGCGAGGTGGAAGGAGGGAAAAGGTGGAAAGTTTGTATGAGATACAGTGGAAGGAATTACAATAGCCTGCATATAGGCCAAAGATTGCACTTTTGGTGCAGGAACAACCGACAGCGAGGCTGCGGTAAACGAGGGAGGAGGAGCGGAAGGCGAGAAGAAAATCATCTTGGAGGCAGCGCCACAAAGGTGTCGTAAGCTGAACCAATTCTTTTTCTTAATTTGTATATTTTGTGGTAGAGGAAGAAAAAAAAAACATAAAAAATGACTTGCTGCTAGCAGTGGGAATATGAGAATGCACTGACAGACTGGAAAAAGGTGTTGCGCCGTAAATAAAAATAAAACAAAAAAATAATGTTTTTTTGTTTTTTTTTCAAGAGAATACAGCCCCAGAAACAAACGTACGGGGAAATTGCACGCGGATCTGTAATGGCGCCACTGCATTTTTTAAACTTTCGTTCATATTGTGTCGTCCTGTATCTCCCAGTTTTTGAGGCCGGTTCTGGCATCGAGGCGCAGGCTTTCTTTTCCCACGTAGGAGGCTACACTCTCAGAAAGAGAGGGTGTAGTAGTTACATCCCTGCCTATATAATGCACCCCTAAACTTCAGTTTGGGGTATATGGTGTTGAACACTTCGGGTGGACACAAAGACATTTTCAATTCCTTAGTGTCTAAACGTAATACAACTTAAGAGGGTATCAAACCACGCGCTTTGAATCTCATTGTCGATTTTTTTTCTCAGAAAGGAATTTTAGGAAACAATATGTTACGATAAGGAGTGGGTGTCTTCGCAAGTCAGTTGAAGAAAAGCACACCATTACAGTATTTTGCGCATTCTTTCTTTGGTGGCATGAGCCTAATCAGTACCTATTTGACGCCGTCAAATTTCCTATAATCCGTCGGGAACGAGCTGCAATGACCCCCTACTGCCGTGTTACAGCAACCGATGTCAATTTTTTTTATTTCCAGTAAAACCTCCAAGATACACTTCGCTAAAAATAAAACACTGTGGTTTACAGTTTGGGCTACTGGTCCAGGTAGATATTAAGCTGTCGAACGATTTTTGAGGCAAATCAGTTACTATCAAAATTTCGCCATATTTTTAATGTCTGTCCAATGACATCAACGAATTCCGCTGGAGGGCGATGTGTCACTCACTGACGCACTTCTCGCCGTGAAATCCGCAGCCTGGTTCATCCAAGGGCGGGCCTCCGCCCACCCAGTCGAGTTCCGAAAACAGCTTCAGCACCTGCGGTAGGAGATCAAGGCAGAAGTAAAAGTTGTTTACGGTTGGACGAACAATCCCAGATTACAAGGCCGTCCCCAGTAGCAAAGTTGTTTTGGCCCAAAATTTACTTTTTGTCTGGTAATTCGTTGCCCTGACAATGACAACCCTCCTAGAGTCAAGGTATAATGTTACCTCGCAGTATGTATACAGAATGTAAGTAATTCGGACCTAAATTTCCTAAGAAGCGTCAGAGATGAGCTTCACTGCCTGGCTGTTAGATTGTCACCTCGCTTCCTTGGGCCATTCTTCGCAAGGAAATGCCAGAATTAGGCCTAACTTCTAGTTGTTCAGTTTTCACCTGGGAACATTTTGCCTGAATTGCCAAACAAATGCCTGAATTAGGCTTCGCTGCTTGTTGTTTAGTTGAAATGCAGTATATCTAGCTCATATCTGACACCTTGGCGATTATGTGGCGAACCAAAATAGAAACGTTTCAAAACGCCAAAGCAAAACACATTGGCACTTGCTAACGCCTTGGAACAGAACCTTATGAGTGTCGAATTGGGCCCCTATGATTGACAACCAAAAGTTAGGTGTTTCTCATGCGCGCTGCTTGGGTAGCACTACAGTTCCTATGTCATATGACAAAGGCCAGCGCAGTGTAGAGTCTGAACCCGAGCACTGCGGCAATATTTGGCAGAAACCCGTACTCTATCAATGAGGACACAAGTTCTATGCAACAGCCGTGTCCAATCTGGGACCCGCACTGACCTCCGATTTTCGACGTAGATAGTCTGTCACTACTGGCTTTGCTGTCTAGGAGGTACTGGCTATTCGTGCTGTATCGTTTCCTTCACGGATTTTGTGAGGGTCCATAAGGCCTACGACTAGATTTTTGCACTGCCTGTTCCTCAGGCGGAAAGGGCGGACCCGTTCGACTGTAGACGCTCCAGTAGATGACGTGAAATATTACACATTACGCTTTTGCCATCAATTAAAGGCTTGCGACAAGGCAGTAGCGAAACAGTGCGGCTCCTAGGAAGGAGCACTTCGCACACACCACGGCCGGGCTGGCATAGACATCTAGTGTAGGAGCCAACCTTGGTTCAAAAGTGACGTCTACTTATCTGAGTACAACGCTATACTAAACATTGGGTAGCAAACTCGGCGATAAGTTATTCTTAAACATTTAGAAACTGGAGACACATAAGGGACGATACAGACAGAACAATCATTGAATGAAAGGTTGTCCTGTCTGAACCGTCCCTTATGTGCCTCCACCTTCCAAAAGTCTCAAAAGCACCAACACGCTCAAATAGTACAAGTTCTTCTTCTATACAAAACCCAGAAATGGAGGTCACAGATCCCCTCGTTGCGCTGGCTCAATGCGCTGTAGTCATTTCAATTCCAATACGTCTATACTTGATTCCACGGCGAGCGAAGAGCAATACGATAGCAATAGGAACGAAAAGTACTTATCACGTAGATTTTATCAATTGCTGGCAGTGGTGAGTGTTGTCTCGACGTGAATTCGGGACCGTCGAAAAAACAAACGCTTCATAGGGTCAACTTTCATGACCATATACACGGGGGAAAAAGCGCACAAAAGCCTTGTGGTATCTCGACATCGTTGCCGTTTACAACTGTGGGACACGCAAATGAACCCGAGCTCTCCGAGCACTCTAGCGAGTCGAATGACGGAAACACACCCAGAGCAACAGTAGAAGAGGGTAGATTTCGAATGTCATTGTGCCAAATCTTCAGTCCAGAGCTATTGAGAAACACAGTCACTGGAAGGCACAGACCCGGCGAGGACGCTGTGGGGGCATTAGAATGCGGAGCGAAAATTCGCCTGCTTCTTTTGTAGGGGTTTTGGTGACGTCAGAATACCGAGCTCTGATTGGCTCTGATTGAAGGAGAGTGGGTAGACCACTGATCTCTATGTCTATTTGCTGGATCGCGTTTGACCAGCTCCTCCTATGGAGCGGAATGCGGTCACTGGCGGCCATCTTTAGGTAGAGTTATATCATCTCTAGCCATCATAGTAATATGGCGGACAGCGCAATGGCGACAGGCTGCTATAAAAATAGCCATAGATCTAGTACACTGTACCGTGGGTGACATTTCGTGCTTGATTGAAGTTGTTCGACGAAGCAGATTCTTAAAACCCGGCGTGAACGGTAGCCTCATCTTTGAGGACCCGACAAAAGTTCTACGAAAGCGCAGCACCGGGGGAAAGCAGCGCAGCTCGCATCAAAAGCAGACTCCGTACCGTCGTCTGCTTTCGATACTTCTTTCGATGCGACTTTCGATACGTGCTGTGCTGCTTTTCTTCCGGTGCTGCGATTTCGTGAAACTTTTACCAGGTCCTCAAAAACCGGACTGCTGTTCACGCCGGGTTTAAAAAACATGTTTCGTCAAATAATTTTAATCAAGCACGCAATATCACCCACGCTATTTTGATCGCAGCCTGCCAACCCACCTGCCAAAACGCTATCTGCCATGGATGGATGATAGCGGCTGCAGCAGCTTACATTGGCTAGAGGTGATATAACTCTACCTAAAGATGGCCGCCAGTGACCGCATTCGCGGAGCGGGCAAACGCGATCCAGCAATTGTCATAGAGATCAGTGGGGTAGACCTTCAAGCAAGCTGCCTTGAGGTCTACCCGCTAATATTCAATTAAAGCCAATTCGAGTAGGCGTCCTGATGCCACCACAACCCTTGCCAAAAGAAGCAGACGAACTTGGGCTCCGTATAGGTCGTAGCGGGCATCGCTTTACTATTCGGCGACAACAATCTACAACTCCCAAATCATTAATGTTTACAAATACTGGAGCGCACGTGAAGACCCGTGGTGCACTAATATGCCACCCGTGCAGCAGGAGCAAGGCTGGTGGTAGGAAAGCGCGGACGATAAGGTCATCCGCGTTTTAGTGCAAGTATGAGTGGTAACTTTAGCGCACCGCAGCGCTTCTCACTGACTGTAAATCTTTTAGAATATATTAGCTTAGCAGTTTCCAATCACGCTCAGCAATTTTCTAATTGCAACCACGTGTTTGTTTTCACTACTTGAAAAGGTAATTAAAAACTTCTAGTTAATTATGTGACTTACCGTGGCAATAAGGTCTCTATAATATGGCCACCGGCCAAATAAGTCACTTCGACATGCTGCATGAGTGTACTTTTCATCGCTCTTTTTTAAAAGTTTTTGCTCGAATTGATATACAACACTACGTATGTTGAAGTTACACATCTAAGATTTTAAGCAGAAAACCTCTTCGGACTATATGAGCTATTTATTATTATTATTATTATTATTATTATTATTATTATCGCTGCTTGGAACTGAAACACCACCACGAGCCGTGCATATACACTACCCCATGTGATCTTGGCAGGTCCTAATGGTCTAAGTTTTCTGAATGACTATGCCCGAAGATGACCATCCTAATGCCCCACTCGAGCGGTGCTGGCTAATGTGGTAAGCTATTCTGTATCCAGTTCAGGTAAACGCGATCTCTAATCAAATTCTGGCCAACCGTTTCAGGCCTTGACAGTCGCGGATTTACATATTGTGCGACTGTTCTCCACACGCACTGCTTGCAAAATATGACTCGCATGTAAAAACTGAAACATCTGAACTATAACTCACTGCAACATTCATTCTGAGCATTTCAAAAGTCCCTTGGAGATGTCAAAATGATTTTGACACCTAGAATCTCGCTGAGTACGAATGCGACAGACGGTTATCATAGTGGATGACATATGTGACACCTGTTCTCTGCGCGATCGTAGCGGTTCGGTCTTTGTGTACTTAATTGGAAGGCCACAGAGAGCTTCAAAGCTTCCCGTGAAATTTTATTCGGTATATGATTTACGATGTTAACATCTGTTCATGTATGCGGCCTTGTTTTACTCACCAGGCTAATATTGCGCTATTGTAGGCTTTAGCGAATGAATGGAGAACTCCTGAATGGTTGCACCTAGCTCATTATCGCATTCAACCTTATTTTCGAATATCTGGTCTAAGGGTAAATAATGAACTAACTTATTAAGAAACAGAACCGGTTAACCATGCTTTATTGTGCTGGTTTGGAATTTCGGGCTGTGTGATACTTTAAGGACTAAGCAGCTAAATAAAGAGTAATAAGATTTCTAAATGCCCTAATGAAACACGCAAGGCTCAGCATAATCGTTATTGTAAAAGGCTGTGCTGTTATTTTTTCTCCCGTGTTGGTGCTTATATTTAATTTAGCGCTAAATTCACAAAAATCCCTCCTATCTGGAAACGTCCTGTCATTGTTGCCATTTATAAGACGGTTGATTTTAGCACCAAGAATTGTGGCCCAAGTTCTTTACTTTGCCGCTTTATCTAAAGTCTTTAAAATGGCGCTGCACAAAAGTCTTCAGATATTTTTTTTGACCCAGGATTTGTCTCGAGCAGCGCGTTTTCTTGGAAAATAAAAGTAAGATGAGACAAATATATATATATATATATATATATATATATATATATATATATACGTTCCTGAATGGCGACATGTAATTTCCCTTAAAAGAAACTGTAGTAAAATTATTTTCAACCTCTGTTGAAAAGTTTCTAAAATGATACAGACAATTTATTCAAACGTTTCGAGGTTAACATAAATTGGTCTCTTAATTTTTTTAGGATTCCTCCTAACATAATTTGTATTAAATTTTTTTAGGACGAAACCACAGAAGAACGTACAAAAGACACTCGAATTTATTTGCAATATATATTTTGTATCCTCTTAGGAATTTGTGTCCCTGCGGTACTATACACATACACATCCCACAATTCCCCTTATAACCGACAGTTAAAGTTGTTGGTGTTGATGGTCCTCCCGGTGGTCTGGGAAGCAGGTTCCGCTCCGATGGTCTGGAGCGTGGTGGCACGAACGTCGCTGAAGGACGGGTCAACTCACTGCTTGTAGAGTACTATGTGCATTTATTTACACTCTTTTTACAAGTCCCAACTTGGGAGACCATCCTGCCTC